GAGGAAAAAAAAAAAAAAAAGTTGTCTGTGTGACATGGCCTTAGCCTTGCTGTGATTGCTCTGGTAATCACCAAAATTTTCCTCCAAAGCAGGACCTTGGGATTGAGTTTACAGTTGCTGTTTACCATTCTGTGTTTGAGGCTTTCCAGGACATAGCCCACCTAAAGCTTCACAGAGGATATTTAAGAAATGGACCAGAAAAGAATTAGAATTGCCCTTCCAAAAGAGCAATGATAAAACAGCTTCAGAGTGTTCCTAATTGTGGTGAAAGCTGCTCTGTGAAACTTTCCTTTCTTTGCAAGTCTACATTTTTGCTCAGTGTACCAGAGAGATTGTTCCATTTTTATTAAATTAAACTTCATTCAACAGTGCTGTGTACCAGAGAGATTATAATTTGCGAAGAAAAAACCACAGTCATTGTGTAGTTAAAGGGAAGAGCACAAAAGGCCCCTGTGGCTGTCAAGAATGTGAAAAAAAAATGGCTAATAAAGTTGCGATTTCCCAGAATATTTTTTCTACTGATCACGTAAGGATTCATCAACAATTTCATTATAGGGGAAAGGCTGATGCCGCTCTTAAATTTATGAGCCAAGCTTTGTGCTAGGAAACATGAAATCAGCAAGCTAAGAGACTCAGCAGGAGGGAGTAGGGATTTCAAGAGGAAGATTTAGGGAAAAATCTCTCCAGTGAATCAGGACACGTTTTAGTGAAAATCGAGACTTGGCTCTGATCCTTCGGCTTGGTGCTTCCTGCTAAACTTTTGGAATTTAGCCAGTGTTATAATTAACACCTCACCCCGCCCACACTCCTCCACAGCAATGTGTGTGTCTCTGAGGCATGACAGAGTAAAATCCTCATCCTTTTCAATGGTGTGGTCACTCCAAATAACGTGAAGTCCTTCCTGCAGGACTGGGCATTTTTGGAAGTGTGCATGATGCCTGTGCCATCATGGGCAACAACTGAGGTTCCAAATCCTCTATTTTACTCTCCAAGTGGAGGCTGTAGGCCTGGCACCCAGGGTGGTCCCAACTAATCAATTGTGGTGGGCCAGGTGACACTGTCACAGCCCAGGCCCACCACCTCTGCTGCCTTCTTAGTTCTTCCCGAAGGCCTCATTATAGATCCTCAGGAGTCCACCAGCATTTCCTGTCTCCAAATCTAACCCTGCATATTTAGAAGTTTTCTACATGGAAATGCTATTTTATCATTAGATTAAATGTACATTTTTTCTAACGGACTCTCCAAAATAAATACAAATGTGCTCCTTTTGTAAGAAAATCCCATTATTCTGCACACTACCAAAGTATCCTTCACTTTTAAAAGCATTTCCCACATCTCCCCATCTCAGCACTGACCAGCACATTCCTACCTATGCTTCAGCTTTGTTTAGAAATGTTGGCCCCCTACTTTGTCCCCTCATTAGGTTAGTCCCCTCTGTCATGTGCCCTCATAACACCACCCTTTCTCACATGCATGGCCCTGTAGTAGTGATATTCTCTCTCTCTGGCAGGTGCATGGGGTAAGGAACAGTATGTTACATGCCACTCCATCCTTAACAACCAGCACAATGTCTGGCAACTATTGGGCTCTCAATAAATATTTAAAGAATATTGTTAAATGAATAACTTTAATTTCCCTTCTATTAATGATTATCTTTAAGACTTTTAAATTATTCTCAACTTTACCAAAAATTGATATATCCACAAATTTTATGGGAACATAAAACTGTGCAGTGATAGTCATACCTGTTATTTGCAAAGTACTATGCAGTTTGCAGAATCCTATTTTATCAATTATTTTATGTGATCTTCACAAGCACATTGTAAGGTAAGTAGGGTGGGCATTGCTATTCCTATTTAAGGCAGGAGAAACTAAACGTTAGACATTACCCAGCTTCCCACCACTGTAAATGGTGAACAAGTACTTACTTCTAAGGCCTATGCTACTCCATGTCACCACAGTGCCTAATAGTATGGTAGTAAGCCCGCCAACCAGGGTGGTTTTTTTACCTTTTTTTTTTTTTTTTTTTTGAGATGGAGTCTCGCTCTATTACCCAGGCTGGAGTGGAGTGGCACAATTTCGGCTCACTGCAATTTCCTGCCTCAGCCTCCCAAGTGGCTGGGATTACAGGCACACATCACCATGCCCGGCTAATTTTTGTATTTTTAGTAGAAATGGGGTTTCACCATGTTGGCCAGGCTGGTCTCGAACTCCTGACCTTGTGATCTGCCTGCCTTGGCCTCCCAAAGTGCTGGGATTACAGGTGTGAGCCACCATGCCCGGCCTTAGGGTGTTTTCTCATGTATTCCAGAGCCTGATTCAGAGACCGAGCGACCGGAATTCCACTCTGCTAAACGTGCATTTCCCATCTGTCACATCCCAAACATATCTTACCAATGTCAGTGTCTTTTTTTCTGATTTTACACCAAAGCATGCACATGACAGCACATAAAGGGCCCTTGACACACTCTTTGTTGTGAGTTCACACCAGTTCTCCATCACAAAGTGAACTGAGGAACCATGTACCATTAGGAGATCCCATAGGAGGGTCAGCAAAAATAGACCTCTTTTTTTTTTTAAGTCTTTCTTTTTCTATTTTCCATTTTAGTTTATTTCTATATTTTTCATTTCAGTAGCTTTAGGGGTACAGGTGGTTTTTGGTTACATGGATGCATTGTATAGTGGTGAAGTCTGGGCTTTTAATGCACCTGTCACCTGAATAGTGTACATTGTACCAATGTTTATTAGATCACTCTGTTTGCCTTTGCATACCCATAGCTGCTTAGCTCCCACTTATAAGTGAGAACATGTGGTATTTGTTTTTTTGTTGTTGTTGTTCCTGAGTTACTTCATTTAGGATAGTGGCCTCCAGTTCCATCACTGTTGCTGCAAAGGACCTTATTTCATTCTTTTTTAATGGCTAAGTAGTATTTCATGGTGTGTGTACACCACATTTTCTTTATCCACTCATCAATTGATGGGTACATAGGTTTTTTCCATACCTTTGCAATTGTGAATTGTGCTGTAATAAACATATGAGTGGAGGTGTCTTTTTAATATAATGACTTATTTTCCTTTGGGTAAATACCTAGCAATGGGATTGCTGGAAAGAATGGTAGATCTACTTTTGGTTCTTTGAAAAATCTCCATACTCTTTTCCATAGAGATTGTATTAATATACATTCATATCAACAGTATATAGCTGTTCCCTTTCCACCGCATCTGCACCAACATATGTTGGTTCTTGGCAAAAAAAGGACCTCTTTTATGACTGCATGACCATCAGAAGGCCTTGGCAGTTGAATTTCCATTGATTGATGTTGACATTGCCTTTGCCAGCCTTGTCACATGTCCCTGCCATGTTACCATGCGCTGACTTAGGTGTTACTGAAATACAATGTCTCATTGTTACATGTTGGTTTCATTTCAATGAACAAGCATATGAGGGCTAGGAGAGAAGTGACCGAACCTCTGCAGGCTCTGTTGTTTGATAGCTGAGCACCCAGCATGGGGAGATGCTGAGGACTGTCATGGTCTTTGGGTACTTGAGTCATCACACTCACCTGAAGACATTGCCTTGTTTGTCAATTGCTGCTTTATGCAAGGCTAGCTTGGTTAGGATTGATTGACTCCCGCCCATTTCTGTTTCTACTGTAAATTCCCCATATAGACTCCCTCACTTTCCATGATGGTCTTTGTAGCTTGTGGCTTTTATATCACCTAAATATTGTAGAATTCTGTAGCAGCACAGGATCTACAATAGAGTCCGTCTCATTCCTGCTGTTCCATATCATTTTACACAGCATTACCTGTAATACATTGTGTTTGCAAAGTAGCTTACATTGCCTTTTTAAATTGAGACATGGGTTCCTCTATAATTTGCTAGTAATTTCAAGTATAGATTAAACTAGATAAAAGTTTTCAATAATCATTAGCATATTGATTACATTTAATGTCTTGCATTTATTTATAATGAGAACTCAGACAATTAAATGAAACCTGCTCTCTCTTAGGGTTCCATTCTTGCATTCATTAATAAAGAACAATTAGGCCAGGCATGGTGGCACATGCCTGTAATCCTTGCGCTCTGGGAGGCCCAGGCAGATGGATCACCTGAAGTCAGGAGTTTGAGACCAGCCTGGCCAACGTGGCGAAACCCTGTCTCTACTGAAAATACAAAAATTAGCCAAGCGTGGTGGCAGGTGCTTGTAATCCCACTTACTTGGGAGGCTGAGGCAGAGAATCCTTGAACCTGGGAAGCGGAGGTTTCAGTGAACCAAGATTGCGCCGTTGCACTCCAGCCTGGATGACAAGAGTAAAACTCTGTCTCAGAAAAAGAAAAAAGAATAAATAAATAAAATTACTTGGCCCCTAGAATGACTGGATACAGAGCCCTGAGTTTGAAGAGGACCAACTGTCTGTGCTGCTATAACAGAATACCTGACCCTGGGTAGAAATTTGTTGGCTCACAATTCTGAAGGCTGGGAAGTCCAGGATCGAGGGGCAGCATCTGACCAGGGACTTCTTGCTGCATCATCTTATGGGGAAAGATGGAAGGGTAAAGAGAGAGCAAGATGGAAAGAGAGCAAGAGGGGGCAAATCTATTTCAGTCACAATGAACCCACTCCTTTGATAATGGCATTAATCCATTCATGACCTAAACACCTCTTAAAGAGGAGTGGCCTCAACACCACATAGAAGCCCTACCTTCCAATACCACCACAACGCTGATGAAATTTTAACTTAGGTTTTGGAGGGGATGAACATTCAAACCATAATACCAACTTATACTACTGGGACTACTTTTTAAAGACTTATTACTTCACATAGACAGTAAAATAATAAATCAGTTGTCACTTTAACTTTAATCTTCTTCCCTTCCTTCTCCCCCATTCTGGGGAAATAAAAATTAAGGTTTGTGTCATGTAATGTGTATATTATCAGGGGTAAGAAATTTGCTGTCTCTGATAATGAACCTCACATTTCTCTTGTTTTTACAGTAATAAAAGACTAGTGGCCTTAGTGCCCATGCCCAGTGACCCTCCATTCAATACCCGAAGAGCCTACACCAGTGAGGATGAAGCCTGGAAGTCATACTTGGAGAATCCCCTGACGGCGGCCACCAAGGCCATGATGAGCATTAATGGTGATGAGGACAGTGCTGCTGCCCTTGGCCTGCTCTATGACTACTACAAGGTAGGTCCCCAGCCTCCGCTTTTCTCTTCTTCCTGCTCCAGGACATTCGTTTGCTGGTGGGAAGAAGGAATAGATTCTTCATCCCAGACCAGGGAACTAATAGCATTTTCAAACTCAGTATAGAATTCAGCCTCTTCCTGTTCTCATTGCCCCCTGCTTCCCCATCTACAAAGCTCAACTTTATCACCCACCCAGATGAAGTGCTCATTTTGGGATAATATTTTTTGTGTTCTTTGTTTACATGCATAAATATTATTTGCATATTATTCTTATATTACAAATACTTCCTTGTTACCATGTTTACTTTAGGATTATTGTTTTTGCTGAATGAAGTATATTACATTGTGTGGCTTTATTAGTCCATTTTCACACTGCTGATAAAGACACACCAGAGACTGAGAAGAAAAAGAGGTTTAATTGGACTTACAGTTCCATGTGGCTGGGGAGGCCTCAGAATCATGGCAGGAGGCAAAAGGCACTTCTTACATGGCAGTAAAAACAGAAAATGAAGAAGATGCAAAAGTGGAAACCCCTGATAAAACCATCAGATCCTGTGAGACTTATTCGTGATCACAAGCACAGTATGGGGAAAACTGCTCCCATGATTCAAATTATCTGCCACAAGGCCCCTCCCACAACACATGGAAATTATGGGAGTACAATTCAAGATGAGATTTGGGTGAGGACACAGAGCCAAACCATATCAGTGGCTATACCATAATTTAGTTGCTCAGTACTTGAACATTTAAGTTGCCTCTAGATTTTTCTATTTATAAGAAACATTCAGGGTTTCTAGATTTTTCAATTTTAAAAGGAACATTCTGATGAATACTTTTGTGGAAGACGTTTGCAGTAATTTCAATACCTAATTTTGTTACAATCCTAACTTTCTCTATTTGTTTTGATGAGTAGTAAATTTTTATTTTGAAAAACTCTTAAGGCAAAATAAATGTAAAGCACTTATTTCAAAAATTTACTTGCCATATACTACCTATAAAATAGGAGTATTTCAGGAAATCAGACAAAAAACAATGGTTTTTCTCCAGCATAAAGAACTATGCCTGGTATGACCTGCTCCTTTTGAATTATTGAAGTGTAAAAAATTGACAAGTATTTACTGAATGAGATTTATTACCTGCCTTGATTGTAAACACCTTTGGCTGATGCTGGGAATTGGCACAAATGTGAGGATGGCTGTGTTTATTTTGCTGGTTGGGCACAATGAACTCTTATTTTAGAATAATAACTGAATCCCACCTCCCCTTCTCCCTCCATCATGGAAAAACCAGAGGTTGTGGCAAAATCATGCAGGAGAGATAATTTCCCTTTTAGTAAACTTTGGTCTCTGCTTCCTGTTTCCTTTCTGTTTCCAACTTCCTGTTAACTTCCAGCAGCCTCCACTTTGCAAGCTATTGTCTCCTGTCTCTTCCCTAAAACAGTTCTCACGCTTTCAAAACATCTCCCACCACCACCTCTGGCAGTGCCACGACACCTACTCTTCTGCCAGGGTTTTCTAAAATTACACATTCCTTTTCCAACTTCTTTCCCGTTAAAACACTCAGGAGGGATTCCTCCTTGGGGAGATTATTGAAAACAAAGTGAGGCTTTATCTAAGATGGAGAACAAGGTATGAGTGGCAGGTGCAAGTGACTGACAGGTAGGTCCATCCAGAGTATTTTAAATAAAGATATTGCTAACTCAAATAAATGCATCCTTTACAGTTAGGAAGTGCTGGAGAAATATATGAAGGGCTTTCTCTTGGTCTAGGCTTTCTCCAGTCTAGGCTGACTTTCCCACTTATCAAGAGAGCCAGCACTGGCAGATTGTGACCACCCTCTTATGAAGGCATAAAACTCCCAGCAGGACTCGTGACATAGCAAGAAGGACCTTAACTTTGGGGGACTTGGGTTCAAGGTGAAAGGATGCTTTAAGGCCTAAACTACATTGCATGTAAGTAAGGCTATTTTCTCTACAGTGAAGGGGAATTCCTGGAAAAAAAAAAAAAGGGTGAAAACCAAAATGATTTCATGGTAGGCTTTTTTTTCTTTTCTGCTGTGGGTGTTTTATAGTTTTCATTCCTCTTGATTAGGACTCATTGAAAATGCAGGGATAAAATATATTTCCAAACTAAAATTTCAAACGTATTTGAAGGATAGTGGTAACACAAGAACTCATCAAATTAGGCTCCTTCGGTGCACTGGGCCCACTTCTTGAGGTCCTTTAACTGTTTTTGGTCTCATCCTTAGAAAAAAATTGAAAAAAGTATTTTCTTTCTTGATTAAAATAGTCAAAACCTGACGTTTATTGATCCTTCAAAATCATAAATAAGATCTTTAAAGGTGACCTGATTGATTATCACTTCTCTTTGGTAACTTTGTTTTTTTTTTTTTTTTAGAATGGAAGTCTTGCTCTGTCCACCAGGCCTGGAGTGTATGCAAATCTTGGCCTCACTGCAACCCTCCAACCTCCGATTCAACGGATCTCCTGCCTCAGCCTTCCAAAGTAAGCTGGGATTACAGGCACGCTCCACATACCAGCTATCTGTATTTTTAGTAAGGAGGACGGTTTTCCCATTTGGCCAGGATTGTGTCCTGCGATCCTTGACCTCGTGAATCCGCCTCCTCGCCTCCGAATCCTGGGAATACAGGCAAGAGTCACGTGCCGGGCCGTTGTAATTTATAATTAAATTTAATATGTAAACGTAATATTTCCAATAAGGCTTTGGAAGAAATATACAATTATATTAGGAAAATATATTGTTCTTATTCTGTTTTTTTTTTTTATTTTTTGAGATGGAGTCTCCCTCTTGGCCAGGTGGAGTGCAGTGCCGCGAATCTCGCTCCTCAAACTCTCCTTCCCCGGTTTACGCCATCTCCTGCTCAGCTCCTAGTAGCCTGGGAACTACCAGGCCGCCCGCCCACCCCCGGCTAGTTTTTTTGTATTTTTTATAGAGACCGGTCTTCACCGTGTTAGGGCAGAAGGTCCCCGATCTCCTGACCCCTCGTATAACCGCTCGGCTCCAAAGTGCTGGATTACAGGGCTTGAGCCCCGCGCCCGCCTGTTCTTATTTTTAAAAAATAATTATCTGTTATTATAATGATATAATTCATATATCTGTATTGTATGGCAATTCTTTTTTTTGTTTATGAAAGAGAAGCCATACCCTGAAAACAAACCCATATGTAATTTTTTGTTTTTTTACAGGTCCTGCTCTGTGCCCAGGCTTAAGTGGCAAGTGGCATGATCCAGCTCACTGTAACCTCCATCTGCCGAGTTCAAACGATTTTCCTGCCTCAGCCTCCCAAATGGCTGGGACTAAGATGTGCATCACCGCAACTGGCTAATTTTTTGTTTGTATTTTTAGTAGAGATGGGATTTTGCACATGTTGGCCAGGCTGCTCTTGAACTCCTGGCTTCGAGTGATCCGCCCGCCTTGACCTCCCAAAGTGCTGGGATTAGGCATGAGTCACCACGTCCAGTCTATAATTAGTAATTTATGAAGGCAATGTATTTTATTTCCCACAGATGCAAAGGATAATTAAGTATTAGTAAATATGGGTGATTAAGTACTAGTAAATGTGGTACCTAAATTACCTGTCCTCTTATATATTTGCTAGCATTTAAAGGAAAGTTGAAATACTGCTTTCTGTAAATATTCTGAGATACCAGGTAGGGAGTTTACATAAAACTCAAGTTGCAGCCAAGTCTGTAACTCCTTCTGTTGAATTAATATTTCCAAGACCATGTGGACTACTGGAGTTACATAGCTGCTTTTATTTCACACGAGCTTTGCTATATTTTTGCTTGAAACATTTTAGTGTTTCTGGAAAGAATTGGTCTTGTTTTCAAACACTCTGTTCAAATGATCATTTTGAAGCCCTTTTCAGTTCCCTGGGTGTTCACAGCTTATATATGTTGGTGTTAAAGTTATAACAAAGTTAAATGTCCCTTGAGGATGGACCTTTTTCTGTAGTCAAGTGAAATGTTAATGAAACAAAGCAGTTCTGGTTTTTTGGTCTAAACTCATGTAAACTCTGGGAAGTTAAATTATTGCAAAAATTGCTGCCATGTTATCATTTACATTTTACAGACTTTCTATGCCTCTTCAGAGTATGAATTGATTCTATTTTTGTCAAAGAAACTGTTTTTCCTCACTCTTGAAGTTGGAGTACATCATCCCCAAGGGGACAGTCGTGGACTCTGTCCACAGGGAGGAGTTCATGAACTACACGCAGGCACTCCAGAAATGGTGGTCCCTGTCCTGTGAATGTGGCGAAGGCATACCTTTCGTAATACTTCATAAATTTCAAGGTCTTTTCACCTGCATTTGATAACTGTCACCACAGCATCATTGCAGTGAAGTCCATCAGGTTTTACATTTTATAGTTCTGCAACTCAGTGGGATTTACCCAAGATCACAGGACAATCCTGTATGTTTCCTAATATCCATTGTTTTACAATGTCTACCATTTACAAAATGCCCTTTTTTGAATCCACTTAAAAATTTTAAAAGTATGCATTTGGAGCTTAATAAGTTGCTTACTCATCAAGTGGTGTTTATTTTTTAAAATCCAAATGTATAGAATCTGTCATAATTTAGAGACTAAAATTCTAGCTCAGTTCTCTATCCAGTTTAAACTATTTACCAATAATAGCTCCAGAGTTGTGCAACCTTTTCATGAATTTCAGGCATGACAGAAAAACGTGACAGATTCAATTAGCCAGATATTTTTAAAGTGTTTTGACTTACTTTATGTAACTTTATTTTCCTCTTGAGAGAGCTGATTTATCATCATCTGGTTCTAGCTGTAGTGAAAAATAGGCTTCCCTGGTCAGTTGGTTTCTATCTGTTCTACTGACCAGTACTGCTGGAAACCAGTTTGTTGGTTGATTTGTTTGCCCATCTATCCATCCATCCATCCATCCATCCGTCCATCCATCCATCCATCTGTCCATCCATCCATCCACCCACTCACCTACACACCCACCCAAAAAATATTCACTAAGTAGCTATGACCTCCTAGCAATGGGGATAAATATTGGATATCTAAAGGCAGGTGAGACTCAGTTCACTACCTCAGAGAGATCACTGACAATCACAGTCCAGGACAAACACAGTGCTATAAACCTACAACCATGGTTTATGGAGGTCAGTGCTCTAAAAGGGTTATGTTCTAAGAGCAGTAGGTTGACTGACAACCTCCCAGATAATTCACTGGCTTTCCAGAGGAAACAATGCCTACTCTGCCAGAGTAGAGGACGATCTGTCACATGCACAGACCAGGACAGAAAAGAGAGAGACAGAGAGAGACAGAGAGACAGAGAGTTGGTGAGGGGAGTTCATAACTAAGTGCAAGATGCCTAAGATGATTTCTGGATTATCAAGGCAGAGAGTACAGAATAAAGGCTCTGAGAAGAATAATAAAGAGTTGAGTTTGATGTGCTTGCAAGATGTCCAGGAAGGGACATCTAGGACTCAAGGGAAGAGACCAAGTTCAGAGTTCTCAGTTTATCTAAAGATGGTTTGCAAAGCCAAAGTTTCAAAAAAGAGCATGGTTCAAAGAAGAGTAAACCCGCACGTTAATAACCACCTTTATAGTATTGTGCCTAGCACCTTAGACCGAGCACAGGTGTCTGCGAAGAGCTCACATCAGGGACTCTTGGCAACAATAACATTCACTTCCATGAATCTTTGGGGGTTGCTAACACGTTTCAGTGTTTGGAATCCCTATTCTTCTATTTCTTTGGTCCTGCCTTTTCCAGGCCATTTTCATTGATCAATTGATTCTTTCAATAAGTATTTAGTGAGCGCCTACTACATTCCAGGCACTGAGGACATAATCATGACAAGGTGGACATAGAGATTGCCATATCATGGACACATAAAATTAGATAGGACTCAAAGTATGGGCACAAGTTAGCCTGGAGAAGGCATGGGTTGTGGTGTGGGTGTAGGAGGGGTGGGACATGTTCTAGGCAGAGAGGATTTTGTGTGATGGCTCTTTTGTGAGAAGGAGCATTGCATGGTCATAAATATAGTTGGCCCAAGTGTGAGAAGCAAAAACAGGGGCTGCCTGCGCTGAGATGGGAGACGTTTTTGAGACTACCTACCTGAGAGTAATGGGAAGCACTCAAGTGTTTTAAGTATAATAGCAACACGTCAAGATCAGACTGCATTTTAAGCAGACCACTCTGAGTCTTCCTAATGGATCCAGAAATAATTCACAGGAATGAAATGAAGGAGAGGAGAGACCAGTTAGGAGCTGCTTGCGCAGCCCAAGCAAGGGACTCTGGCGATTGAGCCTGGAGGCTGGTGTCCAGGGGTGGGGGATGGGTTTCAGAGGCACAGGGGACTTTGTAACACCTGGTTGGAAGGGGAGAGGGCAAGGGAAGCTTGACAGTCAAGAAAAATGTGATGGTGCCATAGCACATGACAAAAGAAGTAAACCATCTGTCCCTGCTTCAGAGGCCCTTCCTCATCTGGCCTTTGCTCATCTCTGAGGCCACATCTCCCCCAACTCATTCCTCATGCCGGCCATGCCTTCCTTGTTCTGTCCTGTCCTCTAACCTTTTTATAAGCAGCTCCAGTGGCTAGAAAGCCTTCTCCATCCACCTTACAAATTCCTACCTATGGCTCAGCCCCTCTGGGGAGCTCCACCCTCTAGGCTTCCAGAGAATCCTGTCAGTAGCACAGTTGTATCTCATATCACGGGGTATTAAATTTTTAAAACACTATAGGAATAACTACATTTTAGGAGAGAAACTAAGTGCTCTCTAGTGGGGTGGGTGAGTCATAAACTCAGGGTACAGCAGCAGGCAGAGCTGGGGAGGCAGGTCTTCTTTTTTTAATATATGTATAGTTTTCCAGTTTTTTACGTTTTTAATCTCAATGCCAGTAGAATTTCTTTCTCCTTCCCCCCTTTTATTATTTATTTTTATTTTTTAAATTATTATACTTTAAGCTCTGGGATACATATGCAGGCCTTTTTTAAAAAAAAATTTATCATTTCAACTTTTGTTTTACATTTGGGGGTATGTGTGCAGGCTTGTCACATGGATATATTGTGTGATACTGAGGTTTGGGATACGACTGTGCCCAGCACCCAGGCAATGAGCATAGGACCCAAAAGGTAGTTTTTCAGCCCTTGCCCCGCATCCCCGCCTTAGTAGTCCCGTGTCTGTTGTTCCCATCTTTATGTCAATGTGGACCCAATGTTTAGCTTCTATTTGTAAGTCAGAACATGTGGTATTTGGTTTTCTGTTCCTGCATTTATTCGCTTAGGATTATGGCCTCCAGCTCCACCCATCTTGCTGCAAACGACATGATTTCATTCTATTTTTATGCCTGTGGGGTCTCCTTAAACACTTACTTCTTCCTTAATGCCTTTAAAAAATTGTCATAAAAGATATATAACCTAAAATTTACCATTTTAACCATTAGTAAGTGTCCAGTTCTGTGGCATTAAGTACATTCACATAGTTGTGCAAACATCGCCACCGTCTATCTCCAGAGCCTTTTCCTTTTCCCAGACAGAAAACTCTGTACTCCTTAAACAGTAATTCCTTTCTTATCCTCCTACCTGCTGGTCCTCTCTGTTTTACCTTCTGTCTATGAATTTGACTCTTCTGGGGTACCTCATCTAAGTGGAATCATACAATATTTGTCCTTTTGTATCTGGCTTAGTTTTTTAGCGTAGTGTCTTCAGGGTCCCTCCATATTACAACATGCACCTTAATTTCATTCTCTGTTAAGGCAGCATAGTATTCCGTTGTATGGCTGTGCCCCATTTTGTTTTTCCATTCATCTGCTGTTGAACATTTGGGTGGTTTCCTCCTGCGGGCTACTGTGAATAGTGCTGCAATGAACACAGGTGTATTGAGTATTGAAATTGTATGTTTATCTGTCATCTTCAATAGATGATGAGAACTATCATTTATCTTTTTTCTATCCAGTGTTTAGCAATGCCTGATATAGTATAGACTCTGAAAGTTAACATGAATGATTTATAATTGATTTATTTTGTTTTTTATTAACAAATATAAAGTACCACACACTCCAAGTGCTTTGAAAATTACATTAACTCATTTAATTTTACTAAAAACCTGTGAGATGAGGGACTATTGTTATGCCCATTTTACAGATGAGGAAAGTGGGACAGAGTTTACTGAGTGGTAGAGCTGAGATTTGAACCCAGGCAAGCAGGCTCTAGGTCTGGACTCCTGGCCACTCTGCTCTGTCCCCACCCTAAGCCAGGTGTCTGGGCTTGTGTCATATTCAGGTAAGTGGAAATCACAGGAATTGCTAGAGGACTCCAGTAGAGGGATGATTTTCGTGAATGTTCTTTCATCTCAAGAAAGCAAAAGTTGCTTTTTGGGTGCAAAGGAGTTTGGCTAGAAGGAAGATCTGGAGATATAGAAAAAGAAATAAAGAAAAATACACAAAGAAATTCAATAAACCAACCCAATTCAAGCCTACTTATTCATGTGTTTGAAAACTGTGGCAGAGTAAAGGATCTAGGATGCAGCAGGCGATTAGATGATGGTCAGAGACACGGCTGGTGGGATGGCCCTTCTTTCAATGAGCACTTTTTCAATATCTTTCAGGTAATATGTTGGCATTAGGAGTGTTTTATTTTATTTTATTTTATTATTATTATTATTTTTTTTTTTTTTGAGACGGAGTCTCGCTTTGTCACCCAGGCTGGAGTGCAGTGGTGCGATCTCAGCTCACTGCAAGCTCTGCCTCCCAGGTTCACACCATTCTCCTGCCTCAGCCTCTTGAGTAGCTGGGACTACAGGTGCCTGCCACCACACCTGGCTAATTTTTTATATTTTTAGCAGAGACGGGGTTTCACCATGTTAGCCAGGATGGTCTTGATCTCCTGACCTCGTGATCCGCCCCCCTCGGCCTCCCAAAGGGCATCAGGAGTTTTAAGACAATAATGAAAGTGTATTTAGAAACAAAATTGTGGAAGCAAGTCCACAAGCTGTGTAGGAAGGTGGACAAAGAGGGGCCCAGGTATATTGGATGCTTCCCCCCGCTACTAGCTCAGTACGGCCCCCTGTGCCTAAGCACCCCCACCATGTCAGCACTTATCAGAGAGGAGGGTAGATCCCTGTTCTTTATGCTGACACTTGTTGTGTAACTCCATTATGTTTTCTGTCTGATCAAAGGCACCCAAGTCTAGATTCACCTCTGCTCACATTGCTTCTCTCCCCTCTTCCACTCCCAAGGTAGGGAGTGCATGAGAGGTGCTCGGGTCCAGGGAGAGTCACCTAGGCCAGCAGTGAGCAGCTGAATCATGTCTGCTGTGGCCATATGTTTATCACCAACCCTTTGTCTCTGGCTCCATAATCATTGTCACTCAGGCTACTCGCCTTTAACATCTCCTGGTGATAGCAACTTTTCCACCATTTCCCGGAGAACATCCCGTTTTGGTTTCTTTGCTTATGCTGGTGTCCAGCTCTGAACATGGTCATGGTTGCATCTATGTACATCTGACTGATGGTTGGTGATGTTTCCAGGTTCCTCGAGACAAGAGGCTGCTGTCTGTAAGCAAAGCAAGTGACAGCCAAGAAGACCAGGAGAAAAGGTAAAGGAATTTGCCTGGCCCCCAAAATAACTCTATGTTTTCTGAAAACAATGTTATTAAACTGTATGTTTTGTTCTTGAGAGGAGATGGGGTCAAGAAGCTTAGCATCCTCTATCTGTCTTTTGAATCTGGACCAATGCCAGATCTCTCAATGAGGAGAGCAAATTGCATTTTTGGTTGTGCATTCAAAGGGTCTCTGCACCCTCTTCAGATACCCGCTTCCAAGGAGGCTTAAAATCCTGAGTCAGAGATGAGATGCTAGCAAGATAGCACATTGCTGGGATTAACTTTTCTGATCAATCCTATGGCATTATAACTGCAATTAGGCCCCTCAGGAAGTGAGACACTTGAAAGATTGCTTTTGATGATGGGGGAGGGGAAAGAAAGGAGGTTGGACGGTTTCTCAGCCAGGGGAGGCACAGGTGGAGGCCACTGCAAGGGCTACCGCTGTCAGGGTGAAGGGGCAGGACAGCTGCAGGAGATCACTATGAAACACCCCTTGTCTGCCCTCCTCAATCAAGAACCAGCTGAAAAGCAAGGCACAGTCAGATAAATCGAGGTTCAAAAGGGGCAGAAAAATCAAAAGCAGCTTTATTTCTGATGAAGCCCATTGGAGAATGTGACTCAGAATCTGCAGCTTGTAACATTTCAGTCCTGACTTAGGAAAGTGTACCCATTCAGTCCCAGGCATGACTTTGTACCATTTATGGCACAGCAGGGGTGACTGGAGGGAGAGTCCCCTCTCTTTGGCCAGGATGATCCAGAAAAAGAAACAGGACCAGAAGGGACTGAATCACCCTGCTCAGCTACTTCTTTCAAACTCACCCACTTTTTTTTTTTTTTTTTTTTTTTTGAGACAGAGTCTCGCTCTATCACCAGGCTGGAGTGTAGTGGCACCATCTTGGCTCTCTGTAATCTCCGCTTCCCAGTTCAAGACATTGCCCTGCCTCAGCCTCCTGAGTAGCTGGGACTACAGGCGCACACCACCATGCCTGGCTAATATTTTGTATTTTGGTAGAGACGGGATTTCACCATGTTGGCCAGGATGGGCTCGATCTCCTGACCTCGTGATCCACCCGCCTCAGCCTTCCAAAGTGTTGGGATTACAGGTGTGAGCCACCGCACCCGGCCCAAACTCACCCACTTCTTTCAAACTCACCAATCAATACATCTCTTCCCCTGCAGTGGGATGGAGAGAAGCCATGGTGATTTTCTACTGGAGGTTCTTCCATATGGATATAAAATCCCCTACTAGCACATATGTCCGAATCTGACCTGGCCTTGATAGGAACTGCTTGTGACATTACAGTCTTCTGTGATTAGCAGCAGGGGCCTCTCCACCAACCAGCAGCCCTGTGCTGTGCAGCATCTCCGGGGTACAACCCCAGCAGAACATGAAGACTGCCTGCATCGGAGTCACTGTTCCACTAGGGATCTCCTGAAGCTCCACACTGCCCTGGGGTCCTGGGACCTCGCTGGCAGAGGTGATGACAAGGAAGAAGAGGCTGACACTCTTCAGGCCCTAAAACTTTCCCTTGATCCAGTCAGTTTTATTGAGTTAAGCTTGTGCTATCTGCTTAGTCCTGTGCCGGAATTATAGCAGGATCAGGGAAAAACAAGTTTAAGCCATGTACTCTGTCTACCTTTTACATCACAGACAAGTGAGTATCTCTTAGGACAACATTACAAAGCAACAGCTGCTCATTGTATTTTAATGGTTACTTTTGTGATTTTCACAAAGCATTAAAAAAAAAACTGCAGTGAAGTATAGACTAACCTACCTTATATAGATTAATTATGACTTAGACTTCTCATCGAATATAATTTGGAAGGATATCATTGTGATCTACAGCATATTCATGAATTAAGGTGCTGTATGTTAACATAGTATCATTACAACTGTTTGTATATAGAAGTTGCTACCTGGAAAAATAACAGAATCTCAAAGACATGATCTGAATTTTCTAAAAAGTATGTTTAACACACCATTATTATCATTGCATTTTTCTCATATTATAATATTTGTTTCAATTTTAAATTCTATTGCAGATAATTACTATCTCACAGTAATTCTTAGTTTTAGTTACCCATTTTTTAGATGTCTTTGTGAAGTTCTCTGGTATTAGCTTCAAAATCTAAAACTGTTGAACAGAGGCATAGTTACACATTTTAGGGTGGTGCCGAAGCTGTTATTTTCTGGTGGTATGATAATATTCAACTAGATTTATGCAATTCCATAGCTTGCTTATTTGTTTGTTTATTAGGACACCAAAGCCAAAAAATACTTTGACTTGTATTCTTTCTTTAGAATTCATAAGTTTTGCGTGAATTAAATAATTAAGAAACTTGGCCCCAAATGGACTCTAACTATAGAGAAGTTGGTTAACTTTGAATATTTTGGCAAAGCCAATGAGACTGTGTGTGTGCAAAACCTAGAGTGGAAACTGAATAACAACTTTGTAGCCAATAAATGTAGACCAACTTATGTACTCCTCACCTGTAGGGGCTTATCCCCAAGTGTTAATGGTTATTTCTTCACTAAAGGCTCTGGGCTGACATGAGTTCGGGAAATCCTGGTTTTGGTTAAACAGGTGAAGGAACACTGGTACCTTTACTGGGTTCATGATGTTTGCAACCCACTCAGGGTGGTCTCATTATGGCAATTTTGTTTGTTTTTTATTATTGATTTCACCATGGACTCTTTTTTGTGTGTGTATGTGAGGAATCTCTATTAACATTCCATGCAATGTGTAAACAATGAGGTTTAGGTTTAGGACATGGTAATGTAAATGGGTGGTCTGGGTTTTGGCACCCTCCAACTACTTGGATTCAGATGAAACATAAATTCTAAATTTTCACTATTTCTTATGTACAGGTTCACGCTATTGATTTGATCCCGAAACCAGGTCATTACTTAAGGCCAGAAAGTGTGTAGACTTGTGATTTTACTCCTTAGGAAATTATTTTCTAGACTTATTTCTTCCTACAAATAAAGTTTTAGGTATCTTAAATATTTTTCTATTTGCTGTGTTCATGTGGAGAAATTCTTTTTGCAAGTTTCACTTCGAAGTTTCATCTGAAAAATCAAAGCTGAAAATATCAAGTCCTGCTTCACAGTTAGGCAAGCTCAAAGGCTAATGGGCTTCCTTCTTTATACACAGGAACCAGGATAGCCCAGTTCTTGGAAGAAATTTTTTTTTTTTTTTTTTTTTGAGACGGAGTTTCACTCTTGTTGTCCAGGATGGAGTACAATGGCATGATCTCAGCTCACCGCAACCTTCGCCTCCTGGGTTCAAGCGATTCTCCTGCCTCAGCCTCCTGAGTAGCTGGTATTACATGCATGTGCCACCATGCTTGGCTAATTTTGTATTTTTAGTAGAGATGGGGTTTCTCTATGTTGGTCAGGCTAGTCTCGAACTCCTGACTTCAGGTGATCCTCCTGCCTTGGCTTCCCAAAGTGCTGGGATTACAGGTATAAGCCACAACACCCAGCCCCAGAAGAGCAAATTTTAAGAAAATATTCCTTGCAATGAGAGATGCCAGAAAGTCCCAGAAAGCACATGCTGGATAAAAAACAGAAATAAACAAACAACCCAGGCATCAGAGAGGGGGCAAAAGATATATTTTCTCGCCATATTACTCAGAAGAATCCATAAATTAGTGAGAGGTGGCCCCAAAATTACACTGACCAGAGGGACTTGGCTAATAAAATCATTTTGCTGTCAACAATAATTTTCCATTAATGAGTTCTTATTTGTTTCTGCTCTCTCCTAGACTTCTTTAGTATAGATGAAAGTACTTTATTCTAGTCTGGCAAGAATTAATTTTCTATATGCTTTCCTTTATCTCTGTACCACCCAGGAGGTCTGAGATCTGAGAGATTTTATTTTACATAAGCCAAGCTACACCACTTCCTTAAGCCCCCAAAGGAATTCAGTGCTAAGGACGTCAATGAGCTCATGTTCTTTCTCAATTTGGTGAAAATATTTGAATGATAAATTCTCATCTTATTTCTCCTTTAAGGTGCCCACAGAATGGTAAAAATATCCTCCCCACTCCTCAATCCTTCAAATTACCATGTTTGTCCTCCTCCTGCTTTTTTCTTTTTGTATTTTAAAACTAACTTTTTGGTAAAATTTTCAAACATATACAGAAGTACAGAGAATAGTGTAATAAACCCCCCGAATACCCATCCCATTCTCCAGTTCAACAATGACACATTTTTGCCACTGCTTAATATCTGCTTGATATTGACCTTTTCTCTCTTTCCTTTTCTTTCTTTTTTTCAAATTGCAATAGTATTTAAAATAAATCCCTGTCATGTCATCATATTAGTTATCCTCTAACTACTTCTGTATGTCTAAAAAATAAAAATGGACATTTTATTACATAAGCTCAAAATCATTATCACCCCTAACTAAAATTAACAATACTTTTTTTTTTTTAGACGGATTCTCACTCTGTCCCTCCCCCACCTCAGCCTCCTGAGTAGCTGAGACTACAGACTCAAGCCACTGTGCCTGGCTAATTTTGTATTTTTAGTAGAGACAGGGTTTCACCATTTTGGCCAGGCTGGTCTTGAACTTCTGACCTCGGGTGATTCGCCCGCCTTGGGCTCCCAAAGTGCTGGGATTACAGGCATGACCCACCGCGCCCGACAACAATACTTCCGAATATCACCCAATTCCCAGTCCATATTCAATTGCCTCAAAATTCCCATTGCCTGACAAATGCCTTTTTGGTTTGTTCAGGTCAGGATCCAAACAAGAGCTACTCGTCATACTTGATTTTTATGACTTTTAAATCTCTGTTAATCTAGAACGCTTCTCCCACCCTTCCTCCTTTTTTCATGCGTTTGACTTGTTGACAAATTTAGGTCAGTAGGATGTGCTGCATTCTGGTTTGTCTGATCGCTTCTTTTTGATGTTGTTTAAGTCATTCTTTGTGTTCCTATATTTCCTAAGAGCTGAAAGTTAGATATGAAGGTTTGATTAGACCTAGAGTCAGGTTTTTTTTTTTTTTTGAGACAGAGTTTCATTCTTGTTGTCCAGGCTGGAGTGCAATGGCATGATCTCGGCTCACCACAACCTCCACCTCCAGGTTCAAGTGATTCTCCTGCCTTGGCCTCCCAAGTAGCTGGAATTACAGACACGCACCACCACTCCCAGCTAATTTTTTGTATTTTTTAAGTAGAGACGGGGTTTCACCACGTTGGCCAGGCTGGTCTCGAAGTCTTGACCTCACGTGATCCACCCGCCTCAGCCTCCCAAAGTGCTGGGATTACAGGCGTGAGGCACAGCTCCAGGCCTCATTTTGTTTTTGTTTGTTTTTTTACAGTGAGACTGAGTACTTCAGGTTGCATGATACCAGAGGGCGCATGGCTTACTCGTGATCCTACTTTTAGTGATGTAAGGATCCCATTGCGTTTCGTTGTGAAGTTTGCCAGTCCCCCGTCCCTTAATGGCATTAGCATTCAATGATTATTGCCTGCATTGGTTATTTTATTAGGCATTGCCGAATGGTGATTTTTCTAATTCTATTATGTTGCGGGGGCGGGTTTGAACACACAGAAACTGCCTTGGCCCCAGTGAAGCCCAGAGTAATTTGAGTGGAGGAGAAAACCGAGTGCAAGTCCTAAAGACTGTTCCAGTGAACCTTTCCCTAAATCAAGATCACCTGGAGAATTCCAAGCGGGAACAGTACAGCATCAGCTTCCCTGAGAGCTCTGCCATCATCCCGGTGTCGGGAATCACAGTGGTGAAAGCTGAAGATTTCACACCAGTTTTCATGGCCCCACCTGTGCACTATCCCCGGGGTGATGGGGAAGAGCAACGAGTGGTTATCTTTGAACAGACTCAGTATGACGTGCCCTCGCTGGCCACCCATAGCGCCTATCTCAAGGACGACCAGCGCAGCACCCCGGACAGCACGTATAGCGAGAGCTTCAAGGACGCAGCCACAGAGGTGAGTCCCAGGCTCCATCGATGGCCGGAACTCAAACCCAGAGCCCCTAGCTAATTTTTTTGCTATTTCCTTTCAAAATGTGATAAATGCATTAAACAGTAAGTTTTAGTTTCAATTAGTTTTTTAAAAGATATGTTTGTTGGTAGTCTGGCATTCTTTCTAAACAGGTGTTAATAAACCTATCTATGTGTTTGTGTGTGGAGGAATATTTCTATTTTTCTTGGTTCTTAGATGATGGATTTCTTTGTTTTCATTTTGGTCTTAAGATTAAATATTTATGAGGAATTAAGAGATGTTTGTTTGGAAACTTCTGCTTTGTAAAGTTTTCACCTTGATCTTTTCCAGTTTATAACCTTCCAAATGGTAGGTAGCTAAAGGTAGGACTTGTCCATTCCTTTTTAAAATACAGCATAATTTTGGCCAGATGCGGTGGCTCATGCCTGTAATCCCGGCACTTTGGGAGGCTGAAGCAGGTAGATCGAGGCCAGGAGTTCAAGACCAGCCTGGCCAACATGGTGAAATCCTGTCTCTACTAAAAATACAAAAAAAAAAAAAAAAAATTAACCAGATATGGTGGCAGGTGCCTGTAATCCCAAATACTTGGGAGGCTGAGGCAGGAGAATCACTCGAACCCAGGAGGCGGAGGTTGCAGTTCGCCGAGATCATGCCACTGCACTCCAGCCTGGGTGACAAGAGCGAAACTCCATCTCAAAACAAAGCAAAACAAGCCAATAAAGTTTTAAAAAACCTTGTCTGATGGAATACTCAAGAAGGAGAATCTGCATTATCAATAATTAAGTGTGTGTATGTGTGCGTTCTTTCTACCTTACAAATAGAGAATATGGATTCTTAGGAGCTCATAGGACTAACTTAGCTTGTTTGTTTTAAATTCAGAAGTTCTAAGTGCACAGTTGAGAATTTTGGTAATTGTATACAGTTGTGAAACCAACGTGAGAATCTAGGTATAGAAAGTTCCCTTACCTTGAAAATTTCCTTGAACCTCTTTGCACTTGAAGCCTTGCCTGCTCGCCTTGCATTTGGAGAGCATGGATCCGCCTACTGTCACTATAGTTTTACCTTAGCTAAAATTTCATGTAAATGAAGTGATAGAGGTTATTGTCTTCTATGTTGCCTTTTTTTTTGCTTAGCATATTTTTGAGATTCATTTATGTTGTTGCTTGTTTTTTGTTTGTTTTTGAGATGAAGTCTCACTGTGTCGCCCAGGCTGGAGTGCAGTGGCGAGATCTTGGCTCACTGCAACCCTGCCTCCCTGGTTCAAGCGATTCTCCTGCCTCAGCCTCCCGAGTTGCTGGGATTACAGGCATGTGCCACCATGCCTGGCTAAATTTTGTGTGTGTGTGTGTGTGTGTGTGTGTGTGTGTTTAGTAGAGACAAGGTTTCACCATGTTACCAGGCTGGTCTTGAACTCCTGACCTCAGGTGATCCACCTGCTTCTGCCTCCCGAAGTGCTGGGATGGAGGTGTGAGCCACTGTGCCCAGCCTTGTTGCTTGTTTTAATAGTTGTTTTTTAAAATTGCTGAGTAGTAGTTCATAGTGAGTGTATATCACTATAGCTAGTCACTAGTTGATGGACATTTAGTTGCTTTCAGCTTTTGGCTATTATGAAAAATGCTGCTATAGACATTCCTGTTTATATTTTAAAGTGGACATATGCTTTCATTTCTCTCGGGTAAATACCTAGAGCTGGAATTGCTAGGCCTTGTGGCTCATGTATAGTTAACTTTATAAGGTACTATCCCTGTTTTCCACACACTTGCCAAAACTTGGTAACTTTTAAACTTTAGATCTTTTAGTGGATATGTGATAGTGTCTCATTGTGTTTTGAATTTGCATTTTTTTTAAATGTAGTGATGTTGAACATTATTTCATGTACTTATTTGGCCCTTCCTATAACTTCCTTTGTGAAGTGTCTGTTCAAATTGTTTGTCCAATTTTTAAATTGAGTTTTCTTCCTTTTATTAAGTTGTAAGAGTTCTTTATATAATGTGAATATAGGCCCTTCGTTAGTCACATATTTTGCAGTTCACTAGCCTTTTTGTTTTCTTAACTATATCTTTCCATGAGTGACAGTATTTAATCTGATTAAGTCTACTTTATTAATGTTGTCTTTTATAGTTTATACATTTGTTATATCATTTAAGAAATCTTTCCCTAATCCAATGTCACACACTTTTTTTGTTTTTCTGTTTTTCTGTAGATGTTTATTAGTTTTATGTCTTTCATGTAGGTTTCTGATTCATTTTGAAGTAATTTTTTTTTCCTTTTTAAATGATTTTATTTTATGTGCAAATAATGAACAGATGTTGTACCTATAAATTCTACTTTCCAAAACCAGGAGCTTTTTAAAAGAAAACCACATAATAACTTTAAAAAGGCACTAGGATTCCTCTGCTTCTAGATCATTACTGGGCTAGAAAAATAAAGTTTGTTCTATCAGAAATCACAAGTTAGAACTGAGCATTCTCCAAAGTGGAAATTCTAGAGTATAGTGTCATTCCAGCAAAGATTATTCAGTTCTCATCCCCAACATCCACAACTACCTATCAGAAGGGTTAAACCAGGTCAAAACAGTCCAGCATAATTAGGTTTCATCAAACAATGTCATTATGCTCTTCTAAGATGCAAATAAACCAAATAGGAAATACTAAAATCAAAATAACATTTGACACTGTCATACAAATTGTTAGTTCCTTGTTGTATCCCCCTTCTGTAACATTAATAAAGGGAATATTTTACTGCAAAGAATGTTTTATTTTATACATCACTAGCCATGAATTTTTGCCATTAGTTATTATACAAATGCTGCCTAGTGCCATTATCCAAATGGCATAACCATTTTACATCCACAATTCACTTCTATAGTTATAAGTAGAATTTTCATGATTTACATAAGTACATCTATCAGTAAAAATTTAACACTGAGATGCAATCTAACATCTGTAATATCTGATGTTTTGTAGATGGAAATGTAGGAAAGATATGTTTTAATCACTTTTCATTTAAGTGACTTTATGTAAAAAATAATAATTTAGCAGTTCCAAGTCTCCAAAGGGCATTTTCAAATGTACATAAAAGAAACGGTTATAGAGATTTCTAAGAAGCATCTTCCACGCCCACATCCTCTTGTAACTGTTGTACAATTTTCTCTTCCAACTGCTTCCCTTTGCCTGCAAGGGGAGCTCGGATAAGATGGATGTTTTGCTTAACTTCTTTGATATCCTGAACTTCGTAGCTCTTTATTTTTCTTCAATCTGTTCATTATAAATTTAGCCTGGTGTTTCTGTTTGATTTCTTCAACTCTCTTCATTGCATCAATAGTTTTATTCCATAGCTCTCACTGGTATTTGATAGGTTCATTTCCACGTTTTTCAAATTCAAATGAATTATACACTGTAAGCCCTTTACCAGCTGCTTTCTGGAATGCTTTGGTTCACCTAACTTTGTGAGGATTGCACTTCTTTTTAAAGTTTTTATGGCATTTAGATTTGCAAAATCTGAACACCTTGCAATTATTGTGGATGAACATCATCCCATGGCCAGGGTAGATGGGTTCTGAACAAAAATAACACTTCTTAATACGCATGTTGAACCTGTGTGGGTCCCCACCAACCAAACACCAAGCTTGAGAGGTGATGTGATTTTCATATATGGTGTGAGGTAAGGATTGAGACCCTTTTGTCCATACTGATATCCAGCCATACTGGTTTCATTCCAGCATGGTTTTTAAAAAGATGATCTTGTATTCATTGAATTGCCTTGGGATCTTGGTAAAACAGCAATTTATGATATAATTGTTGGTACCTTTTCCAAATTTTGACCTAGAATATGTAATGTGTATTTTTATTAGCTCAGATCAGCTTCTTCACTGTTTAGAAGCACTGCCTCTGCATTCAAGATGAGGGTCATTGGTTCCCTATTTTCCAGCCCACCTGAGCCAATAAAAGACAATGGCAGAAGGAGAGAATGTGTGGTTTTCCAATTTCCTAAAGAGGAGCAAGTGTAGTGGCAGCATGATAATATCTTTAACCTGCTGCCTATTTAATTTCCACTGGGGAAAAATGCAGCTACCCGAGCTTGAGATTTTATCTTTAAGTAATAATATTTAAAAATAATGAACATTTGATGGGTACTCACTATGTGCTGGGCGTCATCCTAAGTGATATATAAGCCTCACAAAAGCCCTTTGTGGTAGGTACTATTATTGTCATCTCTATATTCTAAATGAGGAAACTGAGGATCAGAGAGCATAAGTATGCTCATGGTCATTTAGCAGTAAGTGGGAGAGATAGGACTCAACCTAAGCTATCTGGTTTCAGGACCTAAATCCTTAACCATATGACTATACACTCAGAGAAGACTGGGGCCTTCTAATTCTCAATAGTTCCATTGCTTAAGACAGTGATTCACCAAACTCTTTTAAAAAATATCTGACTGTCCTTGGTCCATCTCAGATTTTTTTTTTTTTTTTTTTTTTTTTATCTTTCAGGTAAGCAAAGAGTACAAAAGGTTGGTGAGCAGGGACTAGCTCTCTGCAAAGTTGCAGAGAGCAACTCTTCTATACTAGGTCATAGAAGTTGCACTAGCAGCCCTGCCACTCCTGGCACCAGTCATTTCTGAGTGCCTGCTATATTCTGTGGAATAAGGGAGTGACAAAAGTGACATATGATAAATTTCTTGTCCTTAAGAGGCTGTCGTATTTCTTGGGCTCTGGTAGCTTTATAATCAAACTTTCAATGCCCTTGAAATTTAAAAAATGGTCTTAAAATTACCTTTCTTAGCTTCCTGTATCATACTGCTTAAAATAGTTAATAAACTTTCTTTCTTTGTTTTTTTTAAACTGAGTGAAGGATCTTGTAGAGTCTTTGGTATTGTTGATTATTTGATTTGCTCTCAAGTAGTCAGGGGTGCTTCTGTAGAAAAGCAAATAACTGAAATTATCACTCCACGATCCCATGTGAGGTACATGCTTTTTCACCAAA